TTAAATTTAAATTTGAATCATGAACATAATTTAAATTTATCCTCTTAAACTTATTTGATAAGTTGTTCAATTTAGAATTCAAATTAATTTAAGTTTGACTTAAATTCGAATTTGAATTTGAATTAAAATTGGACTACAGGATAAAGGATGATTTCTCTTCCTTCCCTATCTGGAATTGGCGCCACACACAGGGTAAAAACCCTAAGGGGTGGCCGGCCACAATGGATAAGGAAGAGGGAAATTTTTAGTTCAAAATTCAAATAGGAGATAGAGATTTGATTCATTTTTGAAGTTTGACTTCTACTATTTAAATATGAGAATGATAGAAAATTGTTGATACAATTTTTGAAAACATTTTTCTGCCCTAACTTGTGAGTGTGGCCGAATTTCTCAAAAGGAAAAAGAAAGGAAAAAAATTTTTCTCCCAAAAATTCCACATCGTGCATGCGTTGGTGTTTTTAGAAATTCAAGTGTTTTTGAAACCTGTTTTGTCTCACGTGTGCCCACACACACGTCTACGTGGAATTAAGGAATTGACGTGTAAGACTTTGGTTCTCTAAACACAAAGATTGGAGCAAGGATTGTTCGTGGTCAAAGAACTCAAGTTATCATCCGAGTTGGCCTCCAGGTATTTTTCCTAATTGAGTTCTTGACATATAAATTAATGTGATTAATTTATTCGTGCATAAATTAATATAATCTATAGAGTATCTCAAAAGTTTTATGAAATTTTTGTTATACACGATCCACCTCCCCGCCACGCTTCCGCATCCGAATTCGATTCAGTTACCAACACAATTTTCTGTCAAAATTTCTGTGTTTGTAATAAGGAAGTAATTTCACCAAAAATAAAATAAAATTCCTAGTTAGGGCATGAAGAACCACGATGGCGATCCCTCTATTGTCGCTTCGGCCATTCTTCAGCTGATTCTCCCCTTTCGTCGTTATGTCATCGTAGAACTAGAAAGCCATCGCCGCAAGCTTCACAAACTTGCGACAAATTCAAAAAATGACAATTAAAAAACAAAAACAAAAACATCATCGGAGAATGGAAAACAATGAACAAGCGAAAACCAAGATGTTGTTCTAGCTTCGCATGGAAAAAAGAACTCGTTGAAAGTCTCGACGCTCATGGTCTATTGCATCAATTAGTGAAATCTTTCTTTTTCACTATTTTACTTTCTATTTTTTGTGATTTTAATTAGCGGAATTTTGTTTTAATTTTTTCGGTAATTCAATTCGAACATTAGTTTTAAGTTGTGAGAACTGTGCAGATGATAAAGAAGATGCAACGGTGACAGAGATAGATTTGGAAGATTGAATGCTTTGTTTGTGAGTTGGAATATAATATATATATATATATATATATTATATATTATATATTACTAAAGTTGAAAGTTATATCCATGAAGTCCTTATTTTTTCCATCTAATCTAGTATATATATTACTAAAATTGAAAATTATATCCATGAAGTCCTTTTTTTCCATCTAATCTAATCTAGGACCCGTTTAGTATATGGATTCAAATCAATATTCTTGATTATGACTTTTGAAATTTAAATTTTTCTGTGAGATAAACATTGTAGTAGAATCAAAACCATGTGTTTGCAGTATACCAAGTATCACCCTAATCTAACAAATATAAAAGAGCCAAAAACTCTTTTCTGTGGAGCTGTCGCATGATAGCCCTCCTCTTATCTCTTTTTTTTGTCCTTTTTTAAATTTTTAAATTTTTACTTTTATAAATGTTATTTTACATTTTTATTTTTTTGTGTTTTCTAAAAAAATATTTTTTCTCACTTTGCTATTATAAAAGGACACCAATAGATGATCGACGAGCAATGGGAAGCTAGTGTTGATAAGGATTGCTTCCAAGTGGTAAGTGACTGCTACCCACATATTGGGATCTTACAAAACCTTAATGTCTATGACATATTCTTATGGACTATATGGTCTTCTCTTCCACTTTTAGTGTACAAGAAAAAAAAATTATTTCAAGTGGACACACAATTTCGAACCTCTAAACTAAACGGGACCTTAATTTGAACTAAAAACTTTAAAATGTGATTTGTATTGCGATCTGAACTATCATTTCAATACATGGCAATTCAAATCGGAAATAAAATTTGAATCTATGTTTAGATAGTGTTAAAAGCAATCATTTGAGAAAATTTAGTGTTTAATAACAAATTTTACAAAAAGAAGAATTACCTAAATTGAATTGTGTATGTAAGAGAAAAATACTATAGAAGAAAGTTGAATTTGAA